ATTTATCTAAATCTTCTTGGATTTTATACGCATCCAAACATCCATCAGTCTATATACTAGTATGACAGGAACTGTTTACCTCAAACATCCCATCAAACACCTATTTATTCATCTGTCCATCAGTCAAATGTCCATCCATACATCAATAACTACATACACGTGAGCAAAGACTGAAATATGTTTATATCTGTATTTTTTAAAGGTGAAACCAAGCCCGTCTTGTGTATATCCATGGGCTATTTGTTTATTTCTGGCTGTGCTTATTTGTCTCTGAAATAATTCTCCATCCATTCTGATTTTCCTGAATCTCTGCCTTTTTAACATGTTAAAGATCCTTTTTGTCCGTTCTGGTTCTTTTCATGATTTTGTTGCTCATCTCTTCTCAGTTTTCTAGACAAACTGTTCCTTTCTTTAGATCTTTCTTCATTCTTTTGTGTCTTTAATTCTTAAACTCTTTGGTCTTTTTCTGTTCCTCCTCTGTCGCTACATGGACATGTTTTCTGTATTTATGGAGAGCTTTTCTATAAGCTATAGATCTTTTATACTTTCTGAGTAAATTGAGTAAACTTGCACCACTGATATCTTTGGTAAAGTCCTTTTGTTAGTTTTTTATCAGTTACGCATGCTTGCAGAAACGAGGTGCACGCTTTATTTGTCGGTGTTTCTGTTCTCCATGTTTCACATTTTGTGGTTTCTGAACTCTGAATGCACAACATCATCTAATCTAGCTCAAACTCAAAGCAAACCTTCATATTTTAACATTTTTATCAATCTTCTTCCCCTCCTCCCTTCCTCTGTATCCTTGCTTTCCTCTCCTTCACTTCCCACCCACATCCTCCCGCTCTTCCTCCCCCTTTTCCTCCCTTTCTACAGGATGGGCAGGGCAACCCTCTGAAAATAATCTGAAATCCTGAAACCTGTTTCCTCTCCATTATTGCACAGAAGAAAACACTTGAAGATCACTGAAGACCTACTCTTCTAGAGGAACAACAACATCCACAGACGTCCACTGAGTTTTAAACGAGTAGAATGATCAGTTTTTAACCACGCCATCGGACATTCTCCAAGGCCCCCACTTTAATAGGCAATAGAAGCTGGACAACTAGATCATCAGACTGGACCAGAACCAATCCAGACGCTTGCCAGAGTTTGAGAACCGCAACAAGCCAGAAGAGATCAGTGGAAATTAGTAAAGGCTTGTGGAAAAGTTTGATGGGCCTGCTGACAATAGGTGAGTGGATCCTACTGGAGAAGCACAGGATCTCATGTTTATTCTCCGGATGGTTCCTCGTTTCTAGTCCTGGAGATGCAGTGTTCTAACCTTTTTAGTTGTGTATCTGCCTGAACACACCTGAGTCCGATAGTCAGGTCATAAGCAGGACGATGGAAAACTTGGCTGCATGATGATGGGATATTTTAGCCATTTTTAAACAAACTGATTCTCTGTGTTTTATTTGTCCTATTTGAGCCATAGGGAGGATTAGTGTTATTCTGAATTTCATGTTCATATCACACTAAGCTACCTGCCTCTAGAACCGTCCTGTCAAGGTCGTCTTTTGTTGGTCAAACATCGCAGCATTCACCGTTTGATCAGATGCAAAAGTCAGGCTGCTTAGCATTAGTCAGAGTGGTCTAAAAAATGCTTCTAATGAGGGCCTGCAATTATACAGCACAGCTGTAGCATTACCTGACATGCTCCTTTAATTTTGAAACATTGCTTCATCTCATGATACACTATGCAGAAACTCTGTTTGCACCAATGAAGATTAAACTCTTGATCAGGGCTGAGTGCCTTTCCAGAGACCTACAGTCTAAAGTATTTATGCAACAAATCAGCAAATAACTGTTTAATAAGAGAAAATAACCCATTGGCTGAGAATGTGGAATTGAATTTCTAACTCCATATCATTTAGTGTAGAAACAAATCAAATAGAATAAAGAATCTCAGCCTGATGCTGCAAAATCAATTAATTATATCTCAACATACACACTCTATAAAATAAGAGCTCAAAAAATATATATAAAATAGTTATAGGGGGAGTTGCGGCCTAGTGGTTCGGGTGTAGAGCTTGGAATCCTGAGGTTCTGAGTTCGAGCCCCACTCCCACAGACTGCCATTCTAGGTCCCTGAGCAAGACCCTTAACCCCACTCTGCTCCTCGGGCGCCACACAATGGCAGCCCACTGCTCCCCAAGGGGATGGGTTAAATGCAGAGTTCATTTTGTTATTCTGTACTTGTGACAGTGGAATGACAATAAAAAGCTCTAAAGAAAAAAGAAAAAAAGATTTAAATTGAAATAGTTTGTATTAGAGATGCACGATATTGGGATTTTGGCCGATATCCGATATGCCGATATTTTAAAACTCATGTAGCCGATAACCGATATCGATACCGATGTTNCCGATATTTTAAAACTCATGTAGCCGATAACCGATATCGATACCGATGTTAAAGCTGGACAAAAATAAGTAGTCATTGAAAATAGCAGTTTTGTTATCCATTTCTGACACTTTGAAAAATAATATACTCAAATATATTTTCATATGCTGATATCAAATAGATTTTTAAAAATGCAGTATCGATCTATTTTACTTTTTAAATCTCGTGAAATTTCATTGTTCTGTTACAAACTCTCGTGATATTTTGCAAATTCTTGTGAGATTTTGTTAGTAAAATAGATAGATACTGCGTCAATATATCAACATATAAAAATATGGCAAAATTTCGTGAATTTTCGGGGGATTTCGTAGCATAACGATGACATATAGCAATATTTTATTATTAAAAGAGATTGATATGGTGTTTTTAAATGGCAATATATCAGCATAGGAAGATATTGTGATATTTTAATGTATCAATATTTTGTCCCTCGTCTTTAGAAGTTTTTAAGTCTGTAAAAAAGAAGTTTTTGAGGAAGAAGAAGTAGTATTTTATTTTATTTTTTTTTAGACTTTAGAAACTCAGAAGTTGATCAAATATCAGGTTAAATATCGGTGGGGTGGCCGATGTCCGATATTCAGTTTTAAGGCCGATACAGGCCGATACGGATAGGGGGCCGATTATATCGTGCATCCCTAGTTTGTATACGTGAAACAATTAGATTTTCCACAAAAGATGAAAACCCATTTTAGAGACACCAACATGCCAGCAGCATCATGTTTAGAAATATTCAAAAAGATACTGAATTTCAAAAACTTTAATGTTTGGTTTCTTTGTTTTGTGTCCTTGTAAATATAAAAAGCATAAACAGTGGTCTCATCTCTTGCTGTAGTAGTTCAGGCGTAGAGTATTATAGACCTTGAAGCGTCTGACTGTAAAAACCTTTTCAATAGAGTTGAAGCTCAAACTGAGCGAGAGCAGCGTGGCTGTTTGAACATTTCAGCTAGAAACAGCACTGAAGTGTAGCTATCAAGGTAAAACAGAGTCTATAGCCACAGATCACTCAGACGCTCCGGCATACGGCCCATCCTTTCAACTTCACCACATTAAACAGTTTGAAGCGTTTAGGCGGTAAATCTACAGCCGTAAATCCACACCTACTGATGCCTCTCATAGAGATGAGCAAAACCCCCTCAGTGAATTCATGTTTTATAAACTGAAACATGTTTAGATTCCTATTGAACATTCTAAAAATCCATGTTTTATTTGGTTAAGTTTGGTTATTAAAATCCCGGCATAAATATTCCCTTTTCAATCACCAGCCCTTTTCTGCCGGCTGGACCTCACTCTGCTTTCTCTGTCAGCGTTTCACAGCGTTTGAATCAGAGGACTTTGAGCTGTCCTCTTTGGAAAATCGCTGCAGATCAGTGGTGTCTAATGTCAGTCCTCGAGGGTGTTCTTCATGTTTTTGATGTTCACCTGCTTCAGCGCTCCCTAATCAAATGATTGGTGCATTAGCGGGCCTCCGCGGAACATAATGAGATGCTGAGGAGATAATTCACCTGTTTGAAAGAGCTCTGTTGCAGCAGATCTGCATCTAAAACAGCCCTGCTCTTGGTTGTCCGGTATGTTGGATCTACTCTTTTATTCTTTACCTTTTAATTTTTGGTCATATGTTTGGGATCATGTTGATAATTCTATTGGGGGACAATTTTTAGCTTACTGAAAACTGACATTTCCCCCCTAAACAGCTGTTTTCCTGCATACCTTCCTATGAGCAATCAAGGAAGCTTCCTTATCCTCTTCCTCATCGTGGTCCCGGTTCGGTTTCACTCTTCTAGTATTAAACTTAATATAGATGAAGACACCTCTGCCTAATGAGAGCGGACATGTTCTCTCGTTTCCCATTTTTAGAGAGGAGAAAAACATCCTGCAGCATACTGTGTTTATATGTTACAGAAACAGGAGATCTGGGAGCACAAATTAAATGTTTATCAAAATATTATTAAAAAATTAAAGGTCTCCAGGTGTATTTATCCTGGACCAATCATCAGATTTTCCCAAAGCACTGAGGTGATTTTATGTTAGATTGCCTAAAAATATGACCTGACAGGTTGACTCCAAAGAGTAGAAATCAAATGTAATGTACAGTTTTAGATAATTTTACTGGAAAAGCTGTCAAGGTAAGAACTTATAATTGTTTCATCCAATTGTCAACATGCTTCTGTTTTACTGATTAAGATGTAGCTCTAAAAACCAGGAGCTATCAGATCTGTAGCTGTTTGGATGATGCCCTGTCACTCTCCTGCATCATCACCTTAAAATAGAGCAATGATAATCCCTGACTCATTTCCAGAGCCAAGTTCTTTTGGGTTTATGTCAGGTCTGCACTGGGCCACCAGAACCAGCAAGGAACCACCTAATGGATTCCTATCAAACTAAATTATCTTTAATCGTCTGGTTAAAGAAAACCTGCCTGGAGACTGCAGGTGACAGTTTCTAACTAGATAATTTAGTGGCAAGTTCATCAAACTATTTCTTATTACTAATGGTATACATTTTTTATTTGACTTTTCATATAGCTAAACAAATATTTACTTACTCATACTCGCATTGCGCCATTCTTCCTTCTTCTCTGCCTTCGCCATGTTCCTCTTCATGTCCTTCTTCCCTTCTATCACTTCTATCTCGTCTATCCATGTTGTGCGTCATTTGCCTCGTCCCTGTTTGGCTAAGATCATTTTCAAGTCCAGACCAGATAAGGTCCGGCTGACATGCCCGAAGTACAGAATCTTTCTTTTGATGTTCTGGTCTAGCAGAGTCTGTCTTTGTTTTCCTGTTTTTTGTCGCCTCTCCATTTTGTGTCATCTCTCTCTCCCGGTTTTTGGGGCTTGGGCCGTTGGCCCCAAGCTTTGAAAGCGTTGTTTTTTTTTTTGTTCGGTTTGTTCGGGGTAAACCCTTCGGGGTGTTGGCGAGTCTAGAGAGCACTCTGTTTTTTTGAGTTTTTTCTGCGCGTATTTTTAGATGTTTTAAAACATAGATGTTTTTTACCAGCTCTTCTCACTCTACATGTTTTGTCTGATATTTTCTTTTGTGTGTTTTGGTATAATCTCATATAATTTGTTTCCCAGGAAATGAACATGTAACGGGAAGTGAGGAAAAAAAACACATGAATAATCTAAAAATATTACAACTTGTAATATTTACAGAAAAGGATCACTGAAAAATTAAAATAATACAATGAAATGGATAAAAAAAATATAATTTGAGCAAAAAGGACCAAAGAAACTGAATAGCAATTGGATCATTTCTATTTCTTCCTCCTTGATGTTCTGATAGGAGGTCCTTGTAAAATTCACGAGAACGTAGAGCTGCTGTAAATAGATTATCGGTTAGCCTTCTTAACCACAGCAAGCTGTCGTTTTACCTACAGGCATTGCAGGACTGCCCGGCCGGGTTCGGCTTTTATTAAGTGGCTGTATCAGCTGTCACCTTCTGGCTTTCCGGTAATTTTGTGGTTCTGCCAGCAGATGGCGCCACACCTGTTTATGTCTGCTCATTGCACCCAGTGCTGGAATTCTATTTGGGCTGAAAAAGGATCTAAATGCTATGGGGATGGATGCTTAGTGTATATAACTATTTTATAATATGAATTAAATGTTTTTGGTCCTTTTTAATAGAATGTTGAGGTAAATGCTCTGCTGAAAGTGAAGCCATGATTCTGGAGGTGGTGGTCTGGAAGCTAGGTTCCTGGTAGGAGAGTTAACCTCACTGGTGGAGTACAGCTACAACCAGCTCTATGTAGCAGATTAGGAAAGACGAGGAGAATCTTTAAACGTTGGCTGGAATAA